GTGAGGTAATAATTCACCTTTCCATGCCCTCTCTTCACCCATAGTCGCAGGTTTGGAATCAGTTGGTGTGTCCATCTACCCACACTAGCTTGGTCCAACTCTGTTGCAACGTTGTCAACGTTTCCGCCCACCAGTCGCCATCGCTTTCGTCACTGAAGCCTAGGAATTTCCTTTGCTGCTCCAGCGCAAGCAACACGACGGGAATCGTTCATGCTATCATCATAACAGCAGCAGAGGAAACCGTGCTGTAGGTGGAAGCGATCCTTGGATATCCGATGCGCTGCACCAAAATGTGGCGCTCTTGGATGTCTCGTATCGCAACCCCATCTGCCCATACCTCCAGACTGTACAGCAGTATCAAGTTGAAGACCGACGCTAGAAGCCGTCTTTTGGCCTCTCACGGGCCCCCAAAGTTCAGTATTAACCGTATTATCGCTCCCGCAACCTTGGTGGCTTTGTTGGCTGCTCTCTTGATGTGCTCCCAGAATGTTAGTCGTGAGTCAACCTAGACCCCCAGGTAGCGCACGACCGGGCTTGCAAAGATTGCCTCGCCCGCAATGCTCAATTGAAAGTCCCCCCCGAACCACCTTTGCCTGGTAAGAGCAACTATCTTCGTCTTGTCTATCGCAAGTACAAAACTGTGATCCCGCAGCCACTCCAACACTATAGCGACCGCCCACCGAATCATGCACTCGGCCTCCTCTCGGGATCTTACTGTGACGTGCAGTGCTATGTCATGAGCAAAACCCGACAGCTTGATCCCTGGAGGCATTTCAAGGCGCAAAAGTTTATCGTAGACAATGTTCCATTAGTCAGGGCCAAAGGGCGAAGCCCTGTACGACTGCCGACGTCAGACACCTTTCTTTTGGTCCATCCCTTGTGTCGTACCTGAGTACACCATCCTAAAGATAGCTATCCAGATAGCTATCATCTTTCTAAGGTATTCTGATATATTCTGGTGCCTCCAAGCCCTTTTTATGTTAGACCATTTGGCCGAGTTAAAAGCGTATCTAACGTCGAGAGTCACCAGGACACTGGCGCTTCTCATCTTATGTGAGGGTTTCCATGCCTCCCTCACTGACTCAAGGACCTAAGCCACAGCCATGACCGTCAATTGTCCCCCTCGAAATGCGTACTGTATATTCGGAAGATTGACTTCCCTTCTAAGACGAGTTTGCATTAGCCTCTCGAGCATTTTTCTGGCATTATCCAGCATGCACAAAGGTCCGAGCAACGACGGAACCAATGGTGTTGGTTTACCCTTGTTCAAAACGACAAGTCTTTGGATCTTCCACTGTTCGCTAAACAGTCCATGGTGCAAAGACGCATTCAACATGTCAAGCAACACGTGTGGTGTTACTGTGGCTATGACCTTAAGGACTTCATATGGCACCCCGTCCAGACCAAGGGCCTTGTGGCCCGGCGTCTTCGTTACCACCGACCTCTGTTCATCGAGGGTAAAGAGAGGCGCCTCACCCACACTTATGTCCTCCTGCCTTCTTTTGGGATGCTCCGGAAAGAGACAAGAAACCACCCTCTCCAAGAAGAAAGGCTCCATTGACACTACCGCGTCCGAGCCGCGCAAACTTTTTGGCGCGATTCGGTAGCCCAGGCCGCTAGGCCCCACGTATCTTTATCTATATCAGCGATGAGTTTGCACCAGCATCGGTTCTTGCTCACAATGACCTTCCACATTAGAATCCTTTTGACTTCCCTGTACGTGGCAACAGCTACCTTCGCGTCCTCGCGATTTCTGTGTCACTGTGAAAGACGGCGTAGGCACCGCGCCTTCCCGCGCAGGTTGGCAATTTCTTCGGTCTACCAGTAGCACGAGCGCCGGCCCCACCTGGCGGTTCTTTTGGGCATATACGTATTGCACCACTCTTTGACACGTCTTACGGTACCTCCTACAAGAGCCTCAACTTCCACCGAATTGGTGATCTTGGATAAAGCGGCGGGAGGGGGCGCGCTTGTCATGGCTTCCCGCAACAAGTCTTAATTGAGCTTTTCCACGTTTTATCAGGCTGCGCGCTCTCAAGGCACTCCTTGCAAGTTAGCACCATGTTCCTTTTTAATAATGAAGCTGACATATTGATGGTAACTAGCCGTATAGTCCTCCAGAACCAGCCAGTCAGACACTCGCGCCGCCATTTGTGACGTCGCTAGTGTGAGGTCGATGATCGTGCCCCGGTTTTCGGTTCACCTGAACGTTGCTGAACTATCAGAGTTTATGACGATGAAATCTAGCCTTGCAACCATCTCTAGCACCACCCACCCCCTGGAGTTAGTTCTTGGCTTCCCCCAAGTGATGGCCTTGGAGTTGAAGTCGCCGGCCAAGTCGCCATTTTCCCCGCATACACGAATAGCATCCTCAAGCTCGGCAAGCCGCCCTCTAAAAACGCCGATCGCTCTGTTAGGAGAAATATAGCAGCTAACATGGAATACACTTCTACTTCTAATCTACACAAAACCGTCCCTACCTCCGGAATCGGATACGGGAAACTTGTCACTGCGAATCAGGATGGCCGCGCATCCAGCCCTGTCACGGTACCAGCTCCGACCCGGCAACATGCGGGACGGCTCATTTATGAAGAGCAAGTCCACATTTCGGGCGTGGGACAACTGGTCCAGCAGATCATGCGCAAGCACAGTCCTATCAAGGTTTACTTGCAGGATCACCACCATTTTTGCTGAGCTCCTCCTGCTAATGCCCGCAGCTCTTGACACCCGGCAGTCCCATTGACGTGTCCAGTGTCCAGTTTTGGGACGACGCATTCACACAAGTAACAGCTCACTTTTTTTTTTAACAGTTACGTGCTACGTGGCCCCTTTCACCACACTTCCAGCATGCCCCAGTCCTGTCAGGCCCGCCACCCTGCCTAGCAATATGGCCAAAGCCCAGGCATTTAAAGTAGCACTCAGCATTGTACTGAGACCGCATCCTGCAATTCACCCAGCCTAGCCTTACATGATGCATCTAATTGAGGATCGTAGCCACCATCACAGGTGCCTTAACGTAGGCTACCTAATTTACCCTGACAGTGCCAGACGACAGCCGCACTTCCAAGACAGGGGCCTTCTCTTCCTCAAAACAGCTTCTAAGTGCAGCCTGCACATCTTGCTCTATCACCGTAGAATCAACGTCTCTAATCTCGTATGTCAATTGACGCGCAAGGGTCCTCACGCCACCAGCACTTGCCACAGCATTTTCAAGTGCGTTGGTTAACGCCTCGTGGAAGTCAGACGTGGTGTCTCTCAACTTGACGAGAACATCGCCCTCGCAAGTACCTCAAATACGATGTCAGCGCTTTTCCAAAACTCGACCTCCGGGTCCAGATTGGATCCTCCACCAAGCTTAAGATCGTGTGGCTGTAAATCAGAGTCAGCCCTTTTTCGTCTTAGTTTCGCCATGATTCTCTTTACTACGAGAGTAACGTCTTTGTGGCCCCCCACATTGTGGGCCTTTGTGGACTCACACATTTAGACCACTGATCACTTATTTCTTTAGAGCCCACCCCATCCCAAGCCAGGTACCCCCACCAATGACAAGGTCTAGCAGCCCCTAGACAGTGAGTAGTAGTAGTAGTAGTTTTTTTTTTTTTTGTGGTAGGAGGGGAAATGCATTTAGGCACACCACAGGGACAGCGGTAGTGTGGGACTCGGTGGATTTTTTTTATGAGACCACCCACACCCACTAAACCTCTAATCCTATGCCACGTGGCTTTATTTGCACCCCGGAATCGCGTTAGCATTACTTCAGGGTGGAGGCACCAGGGAAATCGTCGTATCTCACAGCATTAGCGAGCAAGCTCGCCACCAGTTGCTAGAGGTGCCAATCCTATTGAGTCCTGAAAAGGACTTGGGGTCCCTAAGGACTGGCACCCATGTTCTAACGCTTAATTTATGCTTTTCCTTGCTGATAAATATAAATACTTATCGCAGCTTGGGTCCACATCAAACTACTCAGGGGCCCACGCTACCTGCACGGCGGCTCTCTCCTTTTCTTTCTTCTGCCGGAGGACTGACCCGACAAAGCCATCCACTACCGTCAACCCCTCTTCGCTGCTTAGCATCTCAAAGATAATGGTTTCAGGAGCAGGTGCCACGCTGATCTTGTCCACCAGCTGTTGGTGCTCATGGTGCCATCTCTCACACACAAAGAACGTATGTTTGACGATATCATCCAACGCGGGGCAGTAAGAACACCTGGGTAAAGCCTTCACCGCTATGCGGTAAAGATAGGCATCGATCTGGCCATGCCCGGAGAGGAACTGGGTGAGGTGGTAGTTTACCTTGCCATGCCCTCTCTCCAGCCATGGCCACAGGAGCGGAATCAGGCGGTGCGTCGGTCTACCCACACCGGCCTGACCCCACTCCTGCTGCTACGTTGTCAACGTTTCCTCCCGCTTGTCACTATCGCTTTCGTCACCGGAGTCCAGGAAATTCCTTCGCCAATTCCGCGCAAGTAACACGATGGGAATCGTTTGTGCTATTACCATAGCAGCAGTGGAGGAGACCGTACGGTATGCACATGCGATTCATAAGGATCCGATGCGCTGCACCAAAGTTAAGTGCTCTCGGACATCCTTCCTCGTGAGTGCATCCACCCATACCTTTGCGCCGTACAGCAGGATCAAGTTGGAGACCGACGCAAGGAGCCGTCGTTTGGCTTTCCGTGGGCCTCCAACATTTGGCATGAACTATAAAAGCGCCCCAGAGACCCTAGCGGCTTTACCGACTGCTCTCGTGATGTGCTCCCCAATGGTGAGTCGTGAATCAATCCACACTTCAAGGTAGCGTACCACCGGACTTGCGCAGATTACCTCACCCGCAACGCTCAGGCGAAAGTTTTTCCTGAACCATCTCTGCCTGGTGAGAACGACCATCGCCGTTTTTCCTACAGCTATCTTAAAACCATGATTTCAAAGCCATCCCGACACTATCGCGACTGCCCTCCATATTTTGCGCTCGGCCTTCTCTCGCGATCTCGCTATGACATGCTATGCTATGTCGTCAGCAAAGCTCGTCAGCTTGACTCCCGGAAGCATTTCAAGGCGCAAAAGTTCGTCATGGACCAGGTTCCAGAGATCGGGGCTAAGAGCAGATTCCTGTGCGACCCCCAACGTCGGACGCCTCTCTCTTGGTCCATCTTTCGTGTCGTACTGGAGTACTCGATCCTGGAGGTAACTGTCCAGGATCTTTCTTAGGTAGTCTGGTACATTCTGGTGCTTCAGGGCCCTCATTATGTTGGACCATTTCGCCGTGTTGAAGGCATTCTTTACGTCAAGAGTCGCCAGGATACAGACGCTCCTAGTCTTATAAGGGTTTCCATGCCTTCTTGACTGACTTAAGAACCTTAGCCACAGCCATTACCGTCGATCGACCCTTTTGGAACCCGTACTAAGCTTCTGAGAGGCTGACTTTCCCTCTTCAGCGGGTTCTTATTAGCCTCTCTAGCATTTTTCCAGCATTGTTTAACATACCTAAGGGTCGAAATGACGATGGGACCAGGGGGGAAGGTTTGCCCTTGTCCAGAAGAACAAGCCTTTGGATCTTCCACTGCTCGCTAAACAGTCTAACGCGCAGGCACGCATTAAACATGTCCAACAAAATATGTAGCTTCTCCACAGCTATGATCTTGAGGACCTCAGACGGCACCCCATCCTGACCAGGGGCCTTTCGCCCCAGCGTCTCTGATGCCACCAACCTTAATTAATCGAGCGTAAAGAGAGGTACTTGTCCTAAACTTTTGTCCTCCCGCCTCCTAGCGGGATGCTCCGGAAAGAGGCAAGAGACCACTCTCTCCAAGAAGAAAGGTTCCATCCGCGGCGTCAGGTCCGTACCGCGAAGTCTTTCTAACGCGATCCGGTAGCCCAGGCCCCACGTGTCCTTATCTACCTCGGCGATGAGCTCGCACCAGCATCGGTTCTTGCTCACCTTGATCGCCCTCACTAATACTTTTTTTGCTTTCTTGTACGCGGCAACAGCTTCCCCAGCGCCCTCACAAGTTTTGTGTCACTGTGCAAGACGCCGTAGATGCTGCGCTTCTCTGCGCAAGTTAGCGATATCTTCGGTCCACCAGTAGCACGAACGCCGACCTCCTCCAGCAGACCTTTTAGGCAAACATGCGTCGCATCATTCCTTGACCCATCTCATGGTGCCACTCACGAGTGTCTTGGCCTCCTCTGGATTTGTGATCTTGTTCAAATCGGCTGGAGGTGGCGCGCTGACCATGGCTTCCAGCAGCAAATCTCGGTTGAGTTTTGCCACGTTCCACTTAGCAACGCACCTTTAAATGACATCTCGCGAGCCTGCACCACGATCCTTGTTTTCCAAGAAGCTGACATACTGGTGATAACTGGCCGTGTAGTCCTCTAGGACTTGCCAGTCAGACACTCGCGCTGCCATTTCTGACGACACCAGCGTGAGATCGATAATCATTCCCTGGTTACTAGGTCGCCTAAACGTTTCTGAACCACCAGAGTTCATGACGATGAGATCTAGCCTCGCAGCTTTCTCTAGCACCGCCCGTCCTTTGGGGTCGGTTCTCGGCTCCCCCCAAGCGACGGCCTTGGAGTGAAAGTTGCCGGTCAGGACCACATCACCACTCTTCCTGAATACTCGAACGGCATCCTCGAGTTCGGAAAGCCGCTCTCCAAAGGTACCAATCAAAATGTTAGGGGACATGTAGCAACTTACATAGAAAGCACTTCCACACCTTATGCACACAAACTCGTCGCCACCTCCAGTATCGGATACGGAGAACTTGTCACTGCGAATCAGGATGGCCGTGCATCCAGCCGTGTCGCAGTACCAGCTCCAACCTGGCAACGTGCGGGATGGCTTATTTATGAAGAGCAAGTCCACATCCTGGGCGTGGGAGAACTGGTCCAGCAGATCATGCGCAAGGACGGTCCTATCAAGGTTTACTTGCAGGATCAGCATTTTTTGGGAGCTATTCCTACCGCCACCCGTAGGGCTCCACACCTGGCAGTTCTAGCAACATGGCTGGTATCCGGCCTTGGATTCACATTCTTGCACAGGTAGCAGTACGCTTTTTTTGGGGAACTGCATACCTAAAGCACACCCCAGTCCTGTCAGGCCCACCATACCGAGTAGAGATGTGGCCGAACCCAAGGCACCTGTAGCAACGCTCGGCTCTGGTCCTGGGCTGAATCCTACAGTTGACCCAGCCCAGCCACGGGTGGTCCATTTTGTCGAGGACCACGGCCACAGACGCAGGGGCCTCAACATAGGCAAACTTATTACCTCTGGTCATTCTCAACGAAAGCCGCACGACCATCTCTGGTCGCGTCGAAACGACCTTTTAGCGCCTCCTTCACCTCTTCTTCGGTCACCGTCTGGTTAACGTCTTGGATCTTCCAGGCGAGACTCGGAACAAGAGTGTGAAAGCTGCCAGCATCCAACACAGCGCTTTTTAACGCTGCCGCGAATGCATAGCGGTGCACAGCGTTGATATTCTGCAGTTTGACAAGGACTCCACTCGTCCTCGTTTCCCTGACTGATGCCACCCCCACTCCGATCTCGTCTAGGGTCACCCTTTTCATCTGTGCCAGGACCTTGGCATATTTTTTTCCCTCTGCTGGCTTAATGAGGATTGCCTCTGGCCTGGCCCTCCGACGCGGATTTTCAGGGTTTTCTAGAGCTGCCCCCCCCACCAAAGTTTTAATTGGGTTGGCGCCCTCCTCTTTCTCCATCCTTTTTTTTCTGTTTTTGGATGACGGTCTTTTACTCCTTTAGATCAGAAGGATTACCGTCTTCATTTCCTTTCATTGCAGGCAGGGTCCGTTCCTTTTCATCTGGAATGGACTCCAACCACCACGTCTTTTTTTTTAGCGGTCGCGCCGAGACAATGGTACTCGGAAAGCTCCTTATATCTTTCCTCTTCTTCTCCACTGAAGGAGTCAGAAAAAGAGGTGGGGACTCCGACCTTCACCCCCCCGGCCGCGACACTAGCCTACTTCTTTTGGAGGCCCCGACCTGTGAATAAGGCCTCCTCAACTCCATTTCTTATGTCCTTCTAGGTGGTCTCATATTTTTTGACGAGTTCGACCAGATTAACCAAGACCTGCAGCAGATAACTAAAGAGAGCTTCTTCCTGGCTCCCCTCTGCCGTGGCCTTCACCACCCCCACTTAAACTCCCCTTTCCCAAAACTCTTAAAATTTTAGGCTTAATTTTTGTTCCCGCAAGTAGCTAGGGAAATAAAAGTACACCGACCCATAGCCCCGCATGTGCTGGTAAGGCTAAATACTCGTGGAGGTCACCAGGTATCCATGAGGCACCGTTTAAAACCACCAGTACCCCGGCGGCCAACTAATCTTTCGGCACGGTCCACATGACACCTTCAGGTTAGGAAGTGGATAAGACCTGTCAAGGCTACCACCTTAACCAAGACAGCAGGCCGAATCTTAGTAGCTTGGACAGGGGGCCAGACCCTGCCGGCCCTCCAAGTCAGCTGGTTTTCATCCGGAGATCCAGATCACTCCCTTCGAGCTCTAGTCCATACAAGCATACAAACTGTCATACTCTCATTCGATTTTTTAAGTTCCCCCTTTTTTGTTTTTTCTTCCGTTTTCAAGGAAACCCAGTCCCCAACACATTCAGACTAATAATCACCTATTTCTTTAAAGCCTACCCCATCCAAGCAAAGCACCCCCAGCCAAGACGAGTAATCGTGATGCTCTCGAGTCCTGAAAAGGTCTCGGGGTCCCTGAGGACCAGCACCTTGTTTAGCGCTTTATAGTAAGCCGCCTACTTAGCCAGCACCACTATATGCTTAATGCTTTCCCATGCTGATAGGTAAAAAGTACCCAGCGCAGCGTGGGTCCACATAAGCCTAACTTTCAACTTAAGGCCTTTTTTCGTTATTTTAATCCTGCTTGGGCCTTATCCCTGTCCTCTTTTAGGGCTCTTCTAAATAGGGGGCAGTTTCCGCTGCCCGCTTCGTGCTTGTTTTCCATTGTTGGACAAAGGAAGCACCAAGCTGAGCCTAGACACACTTTTTTCCGGTGATTTGAGCTTCCACACCGAAAGCAAAGCTTGAATCAGTTTTCGTTCTTACAGTTTCCTGAGATCTGTTCATATCCCAGGCATTTGTAACATCTTGTTACTTCAATTTTTCTTCGTATTTGGCAGCTTACAAAGCTAACTCGTCACCTGCCTTACTCTTCTACTTGTCTGACACTTGCTTTGTCCACCTTTATCAACGCCAGCCTCTGTCCCCTGGCATTCGGCTTTAAGAGAGCTACTTCTGGCTCCTGGCTCTGATGTCCTAAAGTTTTAGCGAAAACATCTTTGACCTAATCTTCCTCTACAATGGCATCCAGGTCTCGGACCTCCACTGTCACTTTTCTGTTGCTAATTTTGACAGTACCTTGTCCGGCTACTGACTTTTCAATTTGCTGTGAGAATGCAGTAGCATTCTCTACACCTTTGGCCTAATAAAATATGTCCCCTTTTTTCGTAGAAACAACACTTTGGACTGCCACGTTAGTCATATCAGGGTCAAAGTTCACCTTCATCGTCTTGAGCACCGTTACAAAGGTCTGTTCTTCAGCCATCTTCACTACTAGTGTTGTTATAGCGTCTACTTTTTTCTTCTGGCTTGTTTTGTCATTTAGAGGTATTTCTTCTTGTTTGCCACTACCTGTTTTTTTTTTTTCTTTGAAGATATAATATGCTGGCGTTTTTCAGGGCTGTTAGATGGGCTCCTGCTTCTTTTACTTCATTCTGTTTGTTTTAGGGCAGTGTTCAGGGTTTTTTTCTGTACATGCCGTCAAAAATTATCTCGCCTTTGTTCCCTTCACTACAGGGATTTAAATGACAACTTCCAAGCATTTGCGTACCTTTTTTCTTTATAAAAAAAGCCTTTTCTTCGCACCTCTGCCTCTTGAAGGTGTTCAAGCACGGCTATAAGCCCATTCTTAACAGTGTTCGCTGTGTTGCCGTACTTATTGTTATTTAATTGTAGCGTCTCTGTAATATCTTTCGTTGCTGATAGAACTTTATCAGCCAAATGCTGTCGCTTAACCCTGAGATTAGCACCATCTTCTTCTTAAAAGGCAAGCTTCTCCCTTGTCTGGTTGCTAAATACTGACACGTTGCTGTCCTCGGTGTCGTTAGTGCCTATACTCGACAGGCTTCCTCTTCGTCCTTTGTCCGTGAGAAAGGACCATGGAACATTTAGCAGTCCCTGTTGGCCATAAGACACGTCTTTGTGCCCCCCCCCCCCCAGAATCCGTTAGGCCTGCGTCAGTCACCTGGGCTTTCACCGGATCAGAACTGCTGGCGGATTTCCTTAGAGAGGTTACCACCTGGGGTACTAGTTTGACATTGTCGTTCTTATTTTGAAAACTTTTTAGTGTCGTACTGACCCGCAAAGGCCAGCACTACCCTTTTTTTCTAGAAATAAGTATTTGAAAGGGGTAAAAACCAGGGCAGCAGCCCTCTCTGTTACCAGAGAAAACCACTACTTGCTCGGGCTAGCCAGGAGTCGCGTCTTTCCCACAGTCCCATCCGTGGACACTGCTCTGGCGTTGAGTAACAAGTCTAAGAATGGTGTTCGTGTGTAATGTATGTATTTGTTAGTACACAACAGTCGTCCCAGCAAAACGAGTGGCAAGTGTACAGTCCCGAGATCGCGCAGACAACCCAAAAAAATGGGCTAGCGTAACTCACTAAGTAGTAGTAGTAGTGGGAGTAGTAGTAAGAGTAGAAGTAGTAGTAGTAGTAGTTGTTGTTGTTGTAGTAGTAATAGTTGTAATAGTAGTAGTAGTAGTGGTTTTTTTTTTTTCTTTTTTTTTGTGGAGGGAGGAAAAATGCATTAAAGCACACCGCAGGGACAGCGGTAGTGTAAAACTTGGTGAATTTTTTTTATTAGACCACCCATATCCACTAAAACCCCCCCTTCCATGCCACGTTGCTTTTTATCCACTCTGGAACCGCGTTAGCATTACTTCAGGGTCGAGCCACCAGGAAGACCATCGCGTCTCACAGCATTAACATGCTTACTCGCTATAATTTGCTAGAGGTGCTGATGCTCTTATGTCCTAAAAAGGACTTGGGGTCCCTGAGGACCAGCACCTTGTCTAGTGCTCCATAGTAGGCCGCCTACTTAGCCAGCACCACTATAAGCTTAATGCTTTTCCTTGCTGATAGGTCAAAAGTACCAAGCGCAGCGTGGGTCCACATAAGCCTGTCTTTCAACTCAAGGCCTTTTTGCCTTATTTTGATCCTGCTTGGGCCTTATCCCTGGCCTTTTTTAGGGCTCTCCCAAATAAAGGGCAGCTCCAGCTGCCTGCTTCGTGCTTGTTGTCCGTTTTTGGGCAAAGGCAGCACCGTGCTGGGCCTGGGCACTCTTTCTTCCGGTGGTTTGAGCTTCAACACCGGAAGCAAAGCTTAAATCTGTTTTTATTTTTACAGTTGCCCGAGACGTGTCCACATCCTAGGCATTTGTAACATCTTGTTACTTAAATTCTTCTTCGTATTTGGCAGCTTACAAAGCCAACTCGTTACCTGCCGTACTCTTCTACTTGTCTGACAGTGGCTTTGTCCACCTTTATCAATGCCAGCCTCTGTCCCCTGGCATTTGGCTTTAGGAGAGCTACTTCTGGCTCCTGGCTCTGATGTCCAAAAGTGCTAGCGAAAACCTCTTTGACCTCATATTCCTCTACAATGGCATCCAGGTCTCGGACCTCTAAAGTCACGTTGGTGTTGGTCATTTTGACAGTACCCTGCACGGCTACCAACTTTTAAATTTGCTGTGAGACTGCAGTAGCATTTTCTACACCTTTGGCCTTAATAAGTATGTCTCCTTTTTTTGTAGTGACAACACTTTGGACTACCACGTTAGCCTTATCGGGGTCAAAGTTCGCCTTCATCTCCTTCAGCACCGTCGCAAAGATCTGTCCCTCAGCCATCTCCACTACTACTGTTGTTGTGGCGTCCACTTTCTTTCTTCTGGCTTGTTGTTCCGTTCAGTAAAATTTCTTTGTGTTTGCCATTGCCTGTTCTTTTTTTCTTTGGAGGCATGGTTTTCTGGCGTTTTTCAGGGCTGTCTGATGGGCTCCTGTTTCTTTCACTTCGTTCTATTTCTTTTAGGGCAGTATTCAGGGTTTTTTTTTGTATATGCCGTCAAAAATTATCTTGCCTTTGTTCCCTTCACAGCAGGGATTTAAATGACGAGTCTTAA